CCCTTTCACAGACGGGCCAACAGGCGATCGAGACCACAATGCCCTTTGCAACTGTGGCTCCTTAGCCCCACTTTACAGCCGGAGAAACTGAGGCAGGGAGGTGCTCACAGGTCACTGGCATGAGGCGAGGGTGGCTCTGGGAATGGAGAGATGGCTGGGGGAGGAGAACAGAGCGGAGACCAAGGAAGGCTCCGAGGGGACGTGGCGATCCCCAGGCCTGGGGTAGGAGGAGAGGTAAAGCGCAGCCGAGCAGAGCAGAGAGATGGATGCAGGAGACGAGTTGCCGGAGGGGAGATGGGAAGCAGGCGAGCTCCGGGGGAGCAGGACCATGCAGGCACCTTGCGGAGGGGAGCGTGGCGCGTTTCCGAGGGACCCACGGTGGCCGTGGAGGTGGCTGAGGAGGAGGGTGTGGACAGGCAGGGGCCGAGAGAGAGAGCACGTGCAGGAAACGCGCGGGAGGAGAGAGAATCCGCGGGAGGCATCAGAGAAGGGAACGGGAGGGTGCAGAGGATACAAGACCAGGTGGACGGAGGGGAGCGGGTTTGGGGGGACAGAGCCATTTGACCCCCTTGGGCTGGACGGGGCAGTGACCCCTCCAGGAGGACACCGTTTTAGCAAGCGAATTTGGGGGAGAGGGGCGAGGAGCAGGACTTCTAGCTCAGAGCGCTCAAGTCCCTCCCCGCGTCCAAGGGGAAGGGATATCAGTGGGGACTTGCCCCTTCCCAGAGGGAAGGCCTCACCACGGGCCAATGGGAAAATCGGGGACGGGGCCAGGTCTGCCCCGCCCGCCTGCCGAGGCTGGCCTAGTGGCGTTGCTCAGGGATGTGAAAAAAGGACACTCTCCCTGGTGGGGGAAGATTTTCCGCCCACCCCAGCACCGCCCACCTGGGGGTGGATTAACCACAGCGCTGGGAGAACCCTGTCAGCAGCTGTGGCAACCATCCGCCCCACAGCGCGGTGGCGTGGACGCCCCCCTCCCTCGCCTTGCCGCTGCAGAACAGCTCCCCCAGGAAAGAACCAGAGCGCCAACGCGCCTGGAGTAGCATGGCTCTGTGGCCTACTGGTTAGAGCACTCGCACGGGAGCGGGCAGAAAAGGTTGCCAGATACTTTCACCAAAAAATCCCAAACGGGGTGGAGAAAAATTAGGTGGAGCAAAAAACAAGAAAAACCGGGGGACCAAAGTTGTTGAGAAAACAAACCAACCCGCACACACACACAAAAAGAGTCACTGCATCTTTAAATCCCCACTCCTCCCGCCCCGCCAGACGTGACAGGGGAAGAATGTCCCAAGCGACCTTCCGTCCGAGAAAACCCAGAAATGTCCGGTATTTTCCGGCTTTTTTAACCTGACAGAGGCCCCAAATACCGGACCCCTGGCAACCCTATGGGCAGACTCAGGATCCTGCGCCAGTGTCGTCTGAAATGCCACAGGAGACAGAGCCCTGGCTCAGAACTCGGGCGTGTGGAGCTTGTTCTGCCAGACCGGGGTGCCAAGAGATTTAGGTGCCTGCAGGTTTCAGCAGCCACGAAGCGGGAGGAAGGGGTGCGGAGGGACTTGTGAACCCCAGCGGGGCCTGATTCTGGGGATCGGTCCCTTGGTGAATCTAGCCCTGTGATTTTTAACCTGGGCTTGTCCTTTTAACCTTAGACAACAAGCCAAACCTCCTCCCTCCGTTACCCCTCTTGGCTGCATCCGGCATGTGCCCTGCTCTCTTTCGGGGAGGGGCTGTTTCCCCTTGGGGAAACCCCAGAGGGGTCTGGGGCTGGACAGAGCCTGCCCACTCCACGGGAGTTGTTTCGGGAACCAAGCAACCTGCACCCATTTCCGTTTTGTCCTTTTAACCTTAGACAACAAGCCAAACCTCCTCCCTCCGTTACCCCTCTTGGCTGCATCCGGCATGTGCCCTGCTCTCTTTCGGGGAGGGGCTGTTTCCCCTTGGGGAAACCCCAGAGGGGTCTGGGGCTGGACAGAGCCTGCCCACTCCACGGGAGTTGTTTCGGGAACCAAGCAACCTGCACCCATTTCCGTTCTCCCCCCAGGCTGTGGGAGGGAGGAAGGTC